TGTATTACCTTGGGAGTAAGTATGAGAATGTGCTGGACACTTGCATCTAGGGAAAAGAAAAACAGTAACTTGAAAACCAACAAATAAGAATACTTAAAGTAATTCTCACATTGCATTATAATCCTAAGAGATAATCAGGCTGGTAATTATTGGCAGGTATTTTACAATAGGAAACAAACAATCCAGTGATCAGGATGCACAGTCAATCCAGAGTCTTTCTAGAGTTGGAAGATTCTCAGCACATATTTTATTTTTACATTATATATATATATGTAAAAGATTTTTTTTTTTAAATTTAGCTATTCTAGCAGCCTACAAGCAGCTGAGATAAGCATTCTGGGAGTATGCGAGGTCTAAAGTGGGGTCCTCAGTTTCCCTTCAAGCTCTCAGCTCATATAAGTTTGGAGCTTTGATAAAATCCATCTAGGGTTCATGTGCTCCTCTTCTTGCTCCCCCCACCACCCACCGGCCACGATGGAACTTTCCTGTCTTCAAGCTGTTTAAAGTTTTTCTTCAAACAGGCCCTGGACCCGTGCCAACTCTTTGCTCTCCCAGGACCCACAGGCGTCCTTGTCACCTCTTGGTGTCCCCACTCTTTGCCCAGTTGCAGCTTCAGGTTCTATGCATTTGTCTGGGTCTTGGGTGCGTTGTGCTCCCCTAAACCCATCATCTCTTCTCACTCTTCAGTCGGCTTCTCTGCAGATTTTCCATGTCCTCCTTTTTGGAAACTTTCCCTCCTTTCCCTGTCTTGCACGGTTCCTTCTCTGGCTTCTTTCTCCTGCTGGGTTTTGTTTATTTTTATAGCCCGTGGGACAGGGTTATAGTGAGCTCCCAGTAGATACCTGGGTGCATGACCTCTTCCTCCTCCTCCCACCCCGCCAAAATTCAAATTTGGAATTAAAACATCCGAGAGGAAAAACGATGGAGGAAGGGAAAGGTTGGATTTCAATGGTCCTCAGGCTCTCAAAACTTCCTGAGAATTGTGAAGTCAGAATAGACACTGGAAGCGAGTTAGACATCTTTAGTCAAGGCTGCCACCTAGCGGGGGATAGGAAAGCAGGCCAGGCCGAGGACCGCTCTGACAGTTGGGTTTTACTTTTCAGAACATGTCATGCGTTAAACCCTTCAAAGACAAGAACAGCAAAAGAAAGGGAAGAAAAATATCCACACCCAGAGCTTTCCAACGCGACAGCTCCCGGGACCACGCGCTTCCTCTCTCCTATCCCCTTTTCTTTCAAGCTCGACAATATCTCGATTTATTGTTTCTACTCCTTACTTGAGGTTCCTGTCCTGTCCCCTCTTTCCTTCTGGGAACTTCCATCTGTTGTGTATTGTATTTCCCGGTGCTCCCAGCCTCACTGGGTTCTTATCATCATACTTAAAGAGTTTCATGCCTGAAACTCTCAGGCTTGCTCACCCTCTGGCTCTCCCCGACTGGCTTACATTTGCTGGCTCCATTTTCTTGGCTCTAGCACATTCCTTGGCTCCAGAAATCAGGCTGCTGCAGGAGCAAGTCCTGGCTTTTAGACTAGATCCTCAGACCTCCTAGCATCTGTGCTAGCATCACTGAATGCTGTGAGCCACCCCAGCTCTCCTTGGGTAGGTGAAACTCTTTCCTTGGCTTCCAGGACCCCCTTCTCACCTGGGTTTCTTCTCATTGTGTTTTCTCTGGCTCCTTCTCCACTCTACCCATTCCTTCAATGCTGGGTTGGATCCTAGGCTGCCTTCAGCCATTCTGACCCTTCCTTCTCCCTTACTCTATCTATATAGACTACCTGTCACACATCAAGGCCTCAAATATCAATATCTCCACCTGAATCCACCCACTTTTCTCAGGGTCCTTACCATTCTGGTTGGGTTGTCATGTCTCATCCATATTTCTACTAACTTCCTAACTGGCTTCTCATAGCTGCATCTTTGTCACCTTTGTTTCCCACGATGTGGTCAGTCAGGGACACATTTTTAATGTCACTCTCTTGTTTAAAGCTACTTCCATGGCAGGTGAAGTTCAGACCTGGTCTACTTGAATGGCCCCATTGACCTCTTCAGCTTAGAACCTCATCTTTCTCTACCTCTGGGTTTTAGCTTCTGGAAAATTAACTTCATTCTTTTCCTTGAATGAACCACATCTCTTTCTCTGTTCCCCTTCCAGAACGTTGCCCTTTTAATTTCCCTGCCTGGAACATAACTTTCCTCTTTCTGGATAACTTTTGTACTTTTTCATCAGTCTCATCTTTCTGTAAGGCTCCAGGTTTCAGGTAAACTCCCTTTCTATGTGAGCTGCAGTACTGAGCCTTCTTCCCTATTAGAGTTCTTGTCAAATCTCAGTACACACCTTGTCTTCCCTTTCCACTGCACACTGCCACCAGAATATGCTGACATGATTCTACTCATGCCACACTCCTTTCTCATGCAACCACTCCAAAAACATATTCTGCATGACACTGGTTCCAAGGGGTATGAATGGTGTGTGATAAAAGAGTTGCATGATGATATAGATTTAGAACAAAGAATTTTAACACAGCTAAACACCACCTCCCTTGCTTCTTACAGGATTTCTCAGAGCCCTTTACATACTAATGTATATTCTGAGTCTCCAAGAGGGCAAACAGCAGTCAGTGGTTTTTCCAGTCTTACTTGGTCATGGAATTCTTTTACCATGGGGCATCTCAAGGTATTAATATTTCAGGGTTAGAAATATTGTTTTAGTGGCTGTTATCTACAGAACACAATTTGTATTCTTTTGCATAGGCCTGAGAATAAGGCCCTATGAAACCATAACATCTGGATTCAAATTAGCTCTGTGACACTGGACAAATTATTAGTCTTCATGCCTTTATTTCTTTGTCTACAGTAGAGGCTAATAATACAGTATGCCATAGGGTTGTTTTAAGGGTTAGAGTTACTGCTATTAATAGTACATGCAAAGTTTGTGGACAGTGCCTTGCCCCAATGGTAAGGGCCCAGTGTCAGCTATTTTTTTTTGGTGGTATTTCACCATCTGTTTTCTTCATTCTCACTTCTTCCTACAAGGGTATGACCAGACTTTACTTCTGGATCCTGGAACTGCATCTCTTGGTCTCTGGTGTTGCCCTTCCATCTGCCTGAAATTCCTCTCTAGTCTGTCTCCTTTCCCCTCCATTTATCTCTACTTGTTAGTTCAAACTTCTCATGTTCTCCCAGGCCCAGAGGTGCACTTGTATGTTCAACACTATTTATCAAGCAACTATTATATACCTGGCATTTCTGGACTGGGAGTCAGACTTGTCATAACATTTATCACCCAGACTCCCTGTATATGCTAGGAAGTGTAACTCCGTGTGGTTTCTTCCCTTGTACACCCTTTCTGCTGTGATCTGTGGTAGGCCAGTTCTCAGTCTGTCCTCTCTCCCAGTATCTGTACCCTTATGGGCCCCACTAGACTTTAAATTGCCCCATTGTCTATTCCTAGAACCTAAATATACATAGATGTAACATACACCCAATTAATAAGTTATCAATTTGGCATATGAATTTATCGTGGTCACTGTGACCCCTGCCACTACGCATTGCCTGCTACAATGTGGGACGAGGCCTTATTTTCCCTGAGCCTCAGTTTTCTTATTGGTAGATAAACTGAGTAAAACCTGCCACATTGCATGGTGCAAGATTGCATGTGCAATGCAGTTGTGCCCCGGAGCACCGCGGTACCTGCTTCCCTACATTCTTGAAAGCAACTGGAAAAACACTGCGAGAGCCCAGGCAGATCTTAGGCCGGAAACTGCACGGCATCCTCAGGCCCCTGCCCGCCCGCTCGGCGGCCTTGCACTCACGCTGCGCGCTGCAGTTGCCTCAGCAAGTGCGCGACCCGGGCCCGGGAAGCGGCGGCCATGGCTGCTAGAACGTCTTCTTGGTTCCCCAGCGCCGCTCCGCCCCAGCTGCCTGCCAATCCGGGTCGTGGTCTTCCTCCCGCCCGCCCACTCGGCCCACCGGCCCTGCAAAGTCACCTGGCCAAGCTTCAGCCTGCAGTGGCCTGGGACCGTTTTCCTGCGGGTTGTCAGAATCTGGACCGTGAAAGCTCCAGCCCTTAGTCTCACCATTCACCTTTGAAACTGCCCAACGCCACAACTGCTAGCCAGGGTCTGGAGTCCCGATTTAAGTTTCTCCTCTCCAAAGGCTTTCTCACATGTTGGGGACTGGGCGAAAGGGAGAGGACTGGGTCTTTTCCCACTCTGAATTCTTTAAAATTATCTGGATTTCAAGTTTGAATCTTGCAAGTAAGCCCGAGGGTCTTTTCCCCCCTTAAATTACAGGGGCCAGTGCCATACCCTACTGCTAAATCAAGAAAGCTTTAAAAACAAATTCCCAAATAAGCAACAAAATCCCATAATTTTAAAGTTAAAACTAAAAAGAGCAATTGTACCTTTTAGCTTTTGCAGCCAAAATGCCCCTGATTCTGGATCTACTGTCATTTTCAGGAGATTTTCAGAGATGAGTTTACTAAGATCAGAATAAAACTGGAGATAATGACCCTGGACAGCTTTAACTATTTCACCTCCCAATCAAACCAGCACAGGCCAACTTCACAAATGAATCAAAAGATAGTAATGTTCCAAATATAGATTTTGTGGGTCATTTTTTTCTCTTTCCTAGACTCTACTTGAATTCAAGCTTAAAAAAAAATTGGAGTTATCAATGTTGAGGAAGGCAAGTATTTTCTGGATTAACAAGGTTAATTATTTGTAGGGTACCCCAAGTTTATCATGTATAGATGTCAATGTGTTCTGGTTGACAAATATCAAGCAATCCTTACAAAGAGACATCCATCAGTTATCATACTTTTGCTACTATATTTTATACCAAAATAAGTTTTGAGTTTTTTGATAAAAGTAGCTTTGCTGAAACTAGTATAATATAACTGCTTTTATGTTTTTATAGAAAGTAAACAATAATCTGTACTGGACATCTAGGTCACTGTCTTCAAGTATATCTTCTACTAATAATCAAAAAGTTTAAAGCAATGCTAGATAGACACATTTATTAAATTACCTTCACAACAGTTTATTTATTTTTATGTGGTGCTGAGGATTGAACCCAGTGCCTCCTGTGTGCTAGGTGAGCGCTCTACCACTGAGCTACAGCCCCAGCCCTACAACAGTTTCTTTAAATCAACTTAGGAAAATGTCATCTTTCCTCTCCCCTCCCAGATCTGATGAGCATAATAGAAGCTTGTTACAAAAATAACAAATGCTGAAATATATAAATTAATCTACCATAAGTCTCTGAAATGTCACCAACTCTCCTTCACCCCAAAACCCAAAAGTAAAATGCCCAAATTATTTTTCTAACCCTTGTGTCCTCAAATATACCCTTCATCACTAGCTAAGGTCTCGTTTGTGGGAAAGACTTTGATCTGTACAGTCGAACACTTACATACTTTCTTGAGGGGAGGACAATTTTGTCCTTTCAACCTCAAACTCAATGAAGACAGTGGTCCCGCCCTGCGACAGTACTAAAAACTTAACATTTAGCATACAGTTCGTTCTTTACAGAACAGGTCCAAGGGTGAATGAAGTGTTACTTCCTCCTCTTTCCTCCTTGGTGCTGTCCACCTTTTCTCTTGCCACCCAAGCCAGGTGGCCCGGAATGCATCTTGCCTCCCAAATTTCCTTTTCTCTTTCCCTTCTGGCTGGGCGGGCCGCCTTTCCTCTTGCCTCCAGGACCCTGCCGGTTCCCTTTTCTCTTGCCCTTCTGGCTCATTTTTCTCCTCTTGGCGGCCTCCTCCTGGTCCTCTTCTCTCATCTGCTTGTTGGTGGCTCTCGTCACATCCAGCTGAGGCTTTTTGCTGTTCATGACTCGAAGGAGCTCCAACTGGTTCTTTTTCTCGGCTGCGAAGTCCCCAAAAAGGGGCTGAAACTTCCTCTTCTTGCCTGAACCCCGAGGAGCCTTCTCCTTGGGGAGGCGCTCCTGGAAGCGCCCCACAGAGGCGGTGGAGATCTTGGCCACTTGCATAGCGCGGCCCAGCTCCTCCTTACTCTGGTGTCCGGTAGGGTGCAAGCCGGCCGCGCTGGGCAGCTGCATCTTGTGCGCACGGGCCAGATTACGCAGCCGGTTCAGCTCGTTCTTGGCCACGCGTTCCTTCTTGGCCTGAATCCGCTTGGCGAACTGGTCTTCTAGGGGGTCGGCGCTACCGGGAACCTCGATCAGCCATTCCTTGGTGTCATCCCGGGCGCGCTTGTAGCCCCAGCGCCGCCGCCACTGGCCGCTCACCTCGTCCCACACTAGATTGGTTTTCTTCTTGGGACGGATGCCCTTAAGGCGCGCGAACTGCTGCCAGCGTGTAAGCGGCCGCGGCCGTGGGAGCGGCTTCTCACGCGGCAGGCGCGTGGTGGGCTCTGGCAGCCGGGCCACCAGCGCCTCTTCCACTCGCTCCGTGGGCAGCTGCCACAGCTGGTTGATGAGCAGCTGCGTATTGTCCCGTGCCAAGGCCCGCAGCTCGGCCTCCGGCGTGGGTCCCGCCTGCCGCAGCACAGTCGGGGGGTTGCGGTCGGAAGCCAGCAGGTTACCCAGGTCAAATTCCAGCTCCAGCTCCTTGTGCACTGTGATGCGTTGCAACTTCTCTGCCTCTTCCTGCTCCGCCTTTGCCAGCAGCGCCTCCACGCTCTGGCCCTCCATGGCTCCGGATCGGTCCCTTAGCTTTGGGGTTAATAGTTGAAGTCACTTCTCAAGACCAGGGCCCGGGGTCCCCGCAACTCAACCACGTGCGGAAGCCCGGAAGCTCAACCCGGAAGACAAAGGTTCGCTTCCGGGTTATGGGCTTGTGATCCCGGCGACCCAAGGCCGGCAGAGGGCGGTGTTGGAGAGCTGATAGGATTAGAAGCGTGACATTTTGGCTCGGACCCAGATGTAGGCGGAACTGGCGCGATCCCGGACTACAAGTTCCGGGAACTGGTTGGGACTGCGACTCCCAGGATGCCGAGGCAGGAGGCGGTCCCCGGGGGCGGTCGGAGTGGGACGCGGGCCGGTCAAATTTCTGGGGCTGCATAAGGTGTGTTACTGGTCCGCTGAGTGTTAAAGTATTTACATTTCAATCAAAGATGTGTAGTTAATCACCCCTTCTTGGGCGGGACAAATCATTGCACCATAGTTATAACCCGTTTTCGGGGTCCTGGATGTGAGCAGAGACACATCCCACAGATATACATAAAGGTTGTTTTGCCAGTGAGCGGGGCTGGTAGTTACGCCGCCCTGAACTGGTGCAGGTGTGCACCGACCCCAGCGGGTAGACCTGTCCGGAGGGGGCAAAATTGCGACTGTATGCAGTGGAGGGGAGAAATAAAGAATGTCCTCCTGCTTCTGCCCCTTTCAATGCTTTATTCACTCAAATTACTCAATACAATTTCACTCTATAGGTTCTTAATCAAGAAAACACAATTCTTAATGCTAGGCATTGCAATAGACATAATTCACAGCAAACAATTCTAGATTAATTAATTCTAAGCGCTGCAAAACACACTTAATCATGACAGGCTAATGACAGACATTCCCTCTGCATGCTAAGTTTAAGTCGTAAGCCTTAGGCTTTCAGTCCAGCAGATGCACACTCACTCAGACCACGGTGATCAGGTCTGGAACCAAGGCAGGCTTTTCCTGGTGAGGAGTGGACAACTGATTGAGGAGAGGGTCTTAGGGAGAAGTTGCGCTCTCACTAAGGTCCAGATGAGATGGTAGAGTTTGAGAGCGGTGAGGATCACGCAGAGGCTCAGGAAACGATGAAAAGTGATGGGATGTCAGGTCCTCATCAGGCTCTCCAGCTCCAGTGCATCCTTGTTTCAGCTGGCCGAATCCCTCTTCATTGGCTCTATTATTTATACTAAAATTTGGGGCTTTTGACCCGTCTTTCAGTCCTTATCAGCTACCACTGGATTTCTCAGTGACATCATTTACTGCGGGATCAGAAACATCTGGGGTCTGGTGGTCTCCACGCTGATCTTATTGCCTTTCCCTCTCATCAGGTGAGGACAGCCTGCCAGGGGCTTCACTCTGTTTATCAGGGCGAGGGGAAATAACTTGTTTGAGGCCATGCTGGAGGGCTCTGTGGGTGTGCCTGGTGAGACTGCAGGTTTCAAACTGGAGTTTTTAAAATGGAGTTGGTTCGGCTCAGGCCTAAGGGCATCCTCATAAGACCCCTGAGTTGACTCAGAGCTCCGAGAGGGTCTGTTGCTTTCCTGGCAAAAGAGCACCCGGCTCTGCAGTTACTCTGCTTGGTTCCAGTTCCTGGCTGTGAGAATGTTTGACCTTGGGCTAGGCTATTTAACTTGGTTAGGCCTTTTAAAAAACCTTTAATATAGGAATATTAGCCACATCAATGTTTATAGCAGCTTACCTCACAATAGCTAAACTATGGACTCAACCTAGGTACACAATAGAATATTACTCAGCCTTTAAGAAGAACAAAATATGGCATTTGCAGGTAAATGGATGGAGCTGGAGAATATCATGTTAAGGGAAATAAGCCAATCCCAAAGATACAAAGGCTGAATGTTTTCTCTGATATGGAGATGCTAATTCACAATAACGGAGGCGAGCTAGGAAAGAATAGAGATACTTTGGCTTAGACAGAGGGAGGAGATGGGTACGGAGGTAGGAAGGATAGTAGAATGAACTGGACATTATTACCCTTTGTGCATATATGACAACATGACTGGTGTAATTCTACATCATGTACAACCAGAAGAATAAGAAGTTATACTTCATTTATGTATGATGTGTCAAATGCTTTCTACTGTCATATATAACTAATTAAAACAACAACAAAAATAGATGGGGCTACTAATGGTAATCACATCCTAGGGCTATTAGGAAGATAAATAGGTAAATACACCCCAAGGGAGGCTTAGACTAGGGTCTGGAATATAAATAATCAATAAAAGTTAGCTAAATATTAATTATTATTTAATCTTCATCATGGCCAGTGAACAATGCAGTGTCATATAGTGTTTAAAAATTAGGTTTCTTGGGTTAATCCAACTCAGTTTACCATTTACTAGTTCTCCTTGGACAGGTTGTTTAACCTAAGCCCTATTCATAAGTATGACATGTTAGTTCTTGGTACATGGTGAGAACTCAATAAACATTAACTATATATTGTTACTAACTCTTGTTATTTCCACTGATGAAAAAGGAAGGCTTAAGGAGTGAGTTGACTTATGTAATACAACTAGGACATGTGGGAGCAGGATCTTCACTCTGGCTTTAAGACTACATACATATCTTCTGCAATGCCATCCAAGCTTTTGATACTAAAAAAGTGTGGTCCACTGACCAGAAAAATAGCATTACCTGGAAGCTTGTTTGAATGTGGAATCTCAAGCCTCCTCCTAACTGTAATTTATCAGAACCTTCATCAATCTAGGTGATTAGTATGTAATTTCAAGTTTTGGAGACACTACAGATTGTGTGGTTTGCAAGGTTCATTTTCCTTTTAAGAGGGGATTATGTTGGAGAACCGTAGCAGTTATTACATTAACTACTTTCAACCTTAAAACTTTGGGAATTTGCCTAGGAGACAGTAAAGATATTGCTACTTTGGGCTTTGATTTGCCTCTGATTTATTATTTCACCCAGTGAACATTTAATTGAATGGAATGGCAATCATGTGCCAGGCACTAGATATAAAAGTAATTGAGACCTTTTGAAACATGGGAAAAAAATATAGGTACAGAGAAATTTACTATATAGTGTGATTGAACTTTTAATAGAAAGTACAGCTGTTAGGATTAGCTCCTCTTTCAGTTTTCTGAATTACGAAAAAAGAGCAGGGTTTGTTTCTTTCTTAATGGATGCAATGCTGTTTGGTCTGGATCATACAGATCACCTCTTAATTGAATTTTAATAGTTTTTTGTTCACTAGTTTTTTAGAGCCCAAATAGATTTTAATTTCCTTGAAGGCTGGAGACTAACTTTCACTTCCATATAGCACTGGGCATATAACAGTATTCAATATATTACTATTGAAAAACTAAATATTATAGGCTTTCTAATTAAAATAATGTTAATGTTCATTCTGTTAGATTTGAGTGGAGTAAAAGTAGTAAGACTGAGATGTGGAAGTCTCAAAAATATCTTACTGAGACAAGTGGGTGGGTGGTGGTCTTTAGCTTGCATTTTTGTCATACTTATTTTAGGCAAGACTATATAGTGTCAAGAAAAAGAAAGCCTACCAGAGATGTATAAATACATGTGAATATATTTTAATAGTATGGAAAATGTTGGTACACATTGTCTTTTCTCTCTATTTCTCTTCTTCATTTAGTCCTATAAATTCAGAGAGACCCCAAGTGTGGTCATCAGATCTTACTTCTTTTCTCTCTATACCTGCTCTCTATGCCATTTCATCCATTCATATGGTCTCAGCTGACACTTTTGTGCATATAGTTTTTTTTTTTGTGTGTGTGTATGTGGGTACATAGTTCTTAAAAGTATATTTTTATTGCTTTCCTTTTCAAAGGTTTAGGCTGAAATTTCCAACACTTGCCAGACTGTTTCACCATACTCTAAACTCAGTATGTATAAAACTATATAACACATAATTTCCCCTCAAATTAACTTCTTCTATCTCCATCCATTCATCGTTCCCTCCCCCCCCCCAACAAATGTTGATAGAAGGCCTTTGATGCTTGAGGAATACAATGAGAATATGATTGTTAGTAAAAACAGTTTCAATTGATATTATCATCATTCTGTTCAACTAATTTGGGCTTGAAATGATGAAGTCAGCCTTGACATCTCCTGTTTCCAAATCCAATCTGTTCAAAGTCCTGTGAGGTTTGTCTCTATATTGTACCCTTTCCAGCCCCACTGCCATGACCAATTGGTTAGCACTTTGTCACTGTCACCAAAATACCTGACATAAACAACTTAAAGGAGGAAAGATTTATTTTGGCTTCATGGTTTAGACATTTTAGTCCATAGTTGGATGCTTCTTTGGCTCTGAGGTGAGGCAGAACATTATGAAAGAAGATCTTGTTAGAGGGCTGGGGATACAGCTCAGTGGTAGACCAATAGAAAGCTTGTCTAGTCTATATGAGGCCCTAGGTTCAATTCCAGTACTGCCAAAAGGGGGAAAAAAAAGGCATGCTAGAAAAATGCTATTCACCTTAAGACACTCAGGAAACAAAGAGAAAGAGAGAGGCTGGGAACAAGATAGATAAGTCCCAAGAGCATACTACCAAGGACCCACTCCTTTCAACTTCCTCTAGTAATTCCAACAGTTATTTGGAATATATAATGATCCTCCTGCATTTCCTGCCACCTTTCAATAATTTATTCAACTAAAATGTCTAAACCATGAATTCCTCAGTGGATTAATTAATTGATCAGTTTAAAGCCCTCATGATCCAATCACTTCCTCAAAGCCTACCTCTGAACATTGCTGCATTGGGGACCAAGTCTTCAACATGAGTCTTTGGGGAACATTTAGTATCCAAGCCATAATAGTGACCTTACCAGTGTCCTATACTGTATCTCTTCCATCTGCTTCTCCAGATCCTCTTTTCACTCTGCTTGCTGCGCTTGGCTTCCAGTTGAGTTTGACCAGCTGGAAGCAGTGACAGATCAGAAGGTGCAAAGAGAGCTAGGTCAGTACACATATGCCCTCAGTCCTCTGCAGATTGCCATCAGAAGGCCATCAAAAAGCTTTTGTGGCATCAATAGGCCGCAGTTCCTATCAGGTAACCTAGGGTTATTTTGGTTCTCTGCCATTGTAGCATCACAGTTCTTTATGGGTTTCCTTACA